TTACCATCAGAAGCTATTTCTTCAAAGTTTAGGAATCATGTAAATGTAATTCAGAGTACTGTAGGGCATCTAAGAGCCTTCAGTTGGAGTAGTGACATGAAAAACTGGCGGAGCATCATAGCCCACAGCCTGCCTTGTAAACTAGTCTTCAAACTCCCATCACTAGAACAGCAGGAAAACAGCACACCAGAAACATGACTACTTCTGGATTATCCAGAACCATGTTGTTCTGTTATTGTTTTAATGGTCTCATTAATATTCTACTGCAGAACGGTGTCTCTCCTCTCCTCTCTACACAAACTGCTGCTCAAACAGAAAACAGGAAGCCGTTTTTTCCCTCCCAACCTTCGAAAGTTGACATTAGCATTTAGCTGCTTGGAATGAAGTTGAATGCACCTTTAGCTAAAAAGCTAATGTTAATTCGGTCTTCATTGTGAGTCGTAAAGAAAGTCATCAAAGCAACAACAAAAAAAGGCCATCCTCTCTCAAACAGTGATTTACATGGAGAGGAAATAAGACTCACAGAGCTGTTATTGTGCTGCCAGGGTCTCACTGCTTAATCTGTGATGTCTTTACTCAATCTGATCTGTAGAGGAGGTAAAACAATCTGATCTGTAGAGGAGGTCAAACAATCTGATCTGAAGAGGAGGTAAAACAATCTGATCTGTAGAGGAGGTCAAACAATCTGATCTGTAGAGGAGGTCAAACAATCTGATCTGTAGAGGAGGTCAAACAATCTGATCTGTAGAGGAGGTAAAACAATCTGATCTGTAGAGGTCAAACAATCTGATCTGTAGAGGAGGTCAGTGGCGGCTCCTGAAAAAATTCTCAGGAGGGGCAATTTTTCTGATGATTTAGGTGACCTACACACATTTAAAAAAAGATATGTCCAGCAACAACATGAAGACAGGGGCAGCATATAAGTCAATACCAGAAGCATTTATTGACTGATCTCAAAAGTGTTGGCTTACCAGGGTTGGTGGAGCCCTCAGTTTCATCTTTGCCTCGCAAAGCTAACTCAAACACTCCGCAAAACTTCACACACTGGATTAGCCGGCTGAGGATGTGGCGGTTCTTGCTAATGTCGTAGTAAATATATTTGTTATAGTGAATATGGAATATGATATGTTGAGTAAAATGTTGTGCTAAGATCTATTTAGGTCAGGAGCTGGTTATAAGTTCTGTTCCTATCCAATAACAATGGACAAAAGGGTCCTATCTTGTCAGCCTTGTCAGCAGGTGGCCAAGGACAACACCCACGCCATAGGCCTCTCAGTTCTTCCAACTCACGAGTTCTTGCTCTGAGGACACACACACACACAAACACACACACACACACACATATCACTGTTAAACACACACACACACATCATCACTGTTAAACACACACACAAAAATCCCCTCTCTTAGGCTGAACATTTGAAGACAGAGAACCCGACTCAGAGCCAATGCAACAGTGACAGTAGCCTGCAGGGGACCTCGCCCCAACTCATCAGGACCAATCAGAAGATCAGAACTACTAGATTGAACCTACTTCATTTATTGCATAAAATGTCTGCACACAATGTTTCGGGGCTCTCTTCAGATAATAATAATAATAATAATAATAATAATAATAATAATAATAATAATAATATGCCATTTAGCAGACGCTTTTATCCAAAGCGACTTACAGTCATGCGTGCATACATTTTTGTGTATGGGTGGTCCCGGGGATCGAACCCACTACCTTGGCGTTACAAGCACCATGCTCTACCAGCTGAGCTACAGAAAGTGGATACTCATGGATGCGCATTGCAATTGTAAAATGTCAACACAATTGGAGACACCACGTCATTTTTGGAGACATGTTATTGACAGTAAACTATTGTAGATGCGACTGCTAACTAACTAAAACATTTTAGCTGGCTAGCTAATCATCTTAGCTAAATGTGGGGCAAACAATTCAGTTATTTACCGTTAATTTGAGGGATTGGGGTGAAAGAAATCGAGTTACATAGTGATACTTTACGATATACTGTATTGACAATATCGCAATATTTTAGCGCTAGTTGGCTGTACCTGCACCAAAACACCATTATTGTTCCTTCATAGCTTGTTCTCAATCTTTTCACATTGGGAGCCAATTTGTTTTCAGCACTTTTATTTCCATGACTGATCAAAACTCGTTCTCATGGCTTTCTGATCCCTCTGCAACAGACATATGGTGCGCAATAAAATCACAGTATCGAATCGCAATACGTATAGAATCATGAGACTCGCAATGCTGATGCATATATATTATCGTGAGGTTCCTGGCAATTCCCAGGCCAAGTTCATTTTTAAGAGTTTGACGAACGGGTCCGTGAACGCGATTCCAGATATATTTACCTCTGAATAAACTGCCTTTATTACACCATATCCACATCCAGTAAACTTGTGATTATCAACACTAACCTCATCGTTGTGGCGGCGGACAGCTAGCCTGTATCCCTCGTCATCCAGTTGAGTGAGTGGCAATGTCTTTTTTCGTTCGTACCAATTTTTGGAAAATCCTCGGGTGTAGGACTTTCCGCCTTTAGTAGAAACCTGTTGAATTATTAAATTTGGTCTGGGAGGTCCTAATTGTTTCGTTGCCAATTTATCTTCATTTGTTCGCCGACAAAAAGGAACTTCTTTCAAACAATCCACTCTTTTCTCAGTTACGTTCATGGTTACGTTACGTTACGTATGACGAAAGCGCGTAAGTGCAAGCCCACAGACACCCATTGAGATTGTATTGAAGGCTCTGAAATTTGAAAAAAATAGATTTTACATGGGAGTCTATGACAGAAGTTCTGGGCGATTTTCAATCTGACTGAAATCGCCCCAAAAGGGGGTGGAGCCATTTGAAGCACGACTTTAGCCTGATTCGACATTTAGTGGCAGTGTGGCACTGTGGCAGATCAGACGTATAGATTACAACACTGATAACTACTGTTGCCGTGATATAATTGATTAGAAAAAAAATCCCTTCCTTTTCCCGTTTGGCAGTGCGTCGCCCATATCGCCCTATTGAAGAGGCCGTCCCTGGAGGAGGTCAAACAATCTGATCTGTAGAGGAGGTCAAACAATCTGATCTGTAGAGGAGGTCAAACAATCTGATCTGTAGAGGAGGTAAAACAATCTGATCTGTAGAGGAGGTCAAACAATCTGATCTGAAGAGGAGGTCAAACAATCTGATCTGTAGAGGAGGTCAAACAATCTGATCTGTAGAGGAGGTAAAACAATCTGATCTGTAGAGGAGGTCAAACAATCTGATCTGTAGAGGAGGTCAAACAATCTGATCTGTAGAGGAGGTAAAACAATCTGATCTGTAGAGGAGGTCAAACAATCTGATCTGTAGAGGAGGTCAAACAATCTGATCTGTAGAGGAGGTCAAACAATCTGATCTGTAGAGGTCAAACAATCTGATCTGTAGAGGAGGTAAAGCAATATGATCTGTAGAGGAGGTCAAGCAATCTGATCTGTAGAGGAGGTCAAACAATCTGATCTGTAGAGGAGGTCAAACAATCTGATCTGTAGAGGAGGTCAAACAATCTGATCTGTAGAGGAGATCAAACAATCTGATCTGTAGAGGAGGTCAAACAATCTGATCTGTAGAGGAGGTCAAACAATCTGATCTGTAGAGGAGGTCAAACAATCTGATCTGTAGAGGAGGTCAAACAATCTGATCTGTAGAGGAGGTCAAACAACCCTACTCAATCTGCCATAGAGACAGAGGGGTGGAAGAGACACTTAAACTAATTAAAGAAACAGACCAGCTGTTGGCTTTCTATACCAACTGGCAGAGATCGCAGGCGTCTGTCTGTGAGGAGAAAGACAAGAGAAGGAGAAAGTGTGTGATTTAAACTTGGCCATGACATAGTTATCAATGTCAGTTGTGCAGGAGAACAGACACTTGTGTACAGTACACAGTATTACAGCATACTCAGGGGATAGTGTGTGTTTCCATCTGTGTGTCTTAACAGCAGTGGTGCCACACTGAAAAGGTTGGCTATTCAGCAGTGGGTTTTGTTTCTTGTGTTTGTCAGTTGTAGTTTAGTTGTGGACACAGCCAATCACAATCTTCCTCTAATTTGCATGTTCTGAAGAATAAATATCACCATCACACTCTTTCTTTTGTTTTTACACAGGAGAGCCAATCACAACTGTACATGCATTCTCATGACTTCTCTACTGTGTTTTCTTTGTTTGTCCCCAGATGACTGTGGTTCCCTGAGCACCCAGACAGTCAGAGAGCCAGTCAGAGAGCCAGTCAGAGACGGCTATGAGAGGCTGTCGTTCTCGGGGCAGAAGCTTCCTCCAGGGTTCCCCGGCCCCTTTATCTTCCCTGAGGGGCTGTCGTCAATAGAGACACTTCTCACTAACATCCAGGTGGGGCTCTACTCACTGTTTTCCACTGAATAATCCCATAGGGTATATTGGTGACAATGTTTTGCTGAACATGTTTTGATATCCAGCACCTACTTAAAGACATTGGATGTGCGTAGGCTATGCATTTTCTTTCTCCACTCACAGTTTGTCATCACACATCTGGATGTGTAACTCCACTTCAACTCATCTCTCTAACTGTGTCTCTGGGCTCCACTTCAACTCATCTCTCTAACTGTGTCTCTGGGCTCCACTTCAACGCATCTCTCTAACTGTGTCTCTGGGCTCCACTTCAACTCATCTCTCTAACTGTGTCTCTGGGCTCCACTTCAACTCATCTCTCTAACTGTGTCTCTGGGTTCCACTTCAACTCAGCTCTCTAACTGTGTCTCTGGGGGATCACCAATCATTGTTTAAACCTCAAAACACCCAACTCTACCTCCAGCATATTTATTTGGAATATTATTTTTTAAATGTCCCGTAAGACTTCTAACATTGAGATGGGAGATAAGAGATGTAGAGACTACACACAACAGTGATGTATGGATTTAGATATGAGATGTAGAGACTACACACTACAGTGATGTATGGATTTAGATATGAGATGTAGAGACTACACACTACAGTGATGTATGGATTTAGATATGAGATGTAGAGACTACACACTACAGTGATGTATGGATTTAGATATGAGATGTAGAGACTACACACTACAGTGATGTATGGATTTAGATATGAGATGTAGAGACTACACACAACAGTGATGTATGGATTTAGATAAGATATGTAGAGACTACACACTACAGTGATGTATGGATTTAGATATGAGATGTAGAGACTACACACTACAGTGATGTATGGATTTAGATATGAGATGTAGAGACTACACACTACAATGATGTATGGATTTAGTGTAACAACCTCTTGATGTGTGTCTTACTCTGTGCCCTCCAAGCAGGGCTTGCTGAAGGTTGCCATAGACAACACGCGTGCTCAGGACAAGCAGGTGCAGACGGAGAAGTCAGCGCTGAAGATGGAACTGTTCAGAGAGAGGGAGCTAAGAGAGAAACTGGAGAGACAGCTCACCATGGAGCAGAAAAACAGAGGTAGGTTAACACTACATTACACACAACACACTGCACATCATACTACACATCTCTGTTTCCTGAAAACAAGCACCGCAATTCCTCACAATCCTCAAATGTTCTGTCTATTTCAGTGCCTCAAATGTTCTGTCAATTTCAGTGCCTCAAATGTTCTGTCTATTTCAGTGCCTCAAATGTTCTGTCTATTTCAGTGCCTCAAATGTTCTGTCAATTTCAGTGCCTCAAATGTTCTGTCAATTTCAGTGCCTCAAATGTTCTGTCTATTTCAGTGCCTCAAATGTTCTGTTTATTTCAGTGCCTCAAATGTTCTGTCTATTTCAGTGCCTCAAATGTTCTGTCTATTTCAGTGCCTCAAATGTTCTGTCTATTTCAGTGCTGATGCAGAAGCGTCTGAAGAAGGAGAAGAAGACAAAGAGGAAACTTCAGGAGGCTCTGGAGTTTGAGTCTAAACTGAGAGACCATGCAGAGCAGACACTGCAGAAGACTGTAGCATCAGACAGAGCCCTCTGTGGTAAGCATTTAGGCTACATGACCTTTTACATTCTGATTTCATTCACATTCACTTCAGTTTTACATTTAATTGACATTTTACTCTTTATTCACTCTTAATTAATGGTGCAGTTTTATGTTGTCATTTATGAAAATGGATGTAGTGCATCTATTACCCTTTTACTTCTCATTTAGTAGTAATCAAGTGTGATAATTAATGACTAAACTCCCGCCTCTCCGTCATCATTACCCTCCAATCAGACTCACTGACCCAGGAAGTAGACAACGGTAACCAAGGTAACGGCAGGACTGATGCAGAGGCAACGATACAAGGTAAGACAGCTTCTGAATGGCTCATCCATCCTTATCCTAGTTGCCTAAATGTCTGGGTGTTTACGTTGAGTTAAACTAACTCCGTTGGTTTATGTAGCAGAAATCAAGTTGATAAACAGTTTTTAGTAGTTAAGTGGGTGTTTGAGTGTATGACTCTATTCTAATCTGTTATGAAGGTGTTTGAGTGTATGACTCTATTACACACTTCGTACTATAAATGCATTTTCACCAGCTCTGTGTGGAGTCCCAAACTAGGGCCTAAGTGATGACCATTTCAGATGCTCTCATTGCTCTGTATATCAGAATGACAGTACACCCCATCTACCCCCTCTCTCTCCTGATACAGAGTCCCCTCCACAGACCCCATTTACCCCCTCTCTCCCCCACAGACCCCATCTACTCCCTCTCTCCCCCACAGACCCCATCTACTCCCTCTCTCCCCCACAGACCCCATCCACTTCCTCTCTCTCCTGATACAGAGTCCCCCCCACAGACCCCATCTACCCCCTCTCTCCCCCACAGACCCCATCCACTTCCTCTCTCTCCTGCTGCAGAGTCCCCCCACAGACCCCATCTACCCCCTCTCTCCCCCACAGACCCCATCCACTTCCTCTCTCTCCTGCTGCAGAGTCCCCCCACAGACCCCATCTACCCCCTCTCTCTCCTGATACAGAGTCCCCCCACAGACCCCATCTACTCCCTCTCTCCCCCACAGACCCCATCTACCCCCTCTCTCTCCTGCTGCAGAGTCCCCGACAGGGACTGGCTCCCTCTTTGTTAGCAGATCAAACATCTAAACCGTTAAAAGGGAAATTTAATTTAATGTCAGTGAAGCAAAAAAAAGAGCAAGGCCCCGTAATTAATGGCTGTCTTAATTGTCCTCCTGTTGTATTTGCATAGACATCATTTGCATAATTTACATGCAGTAATACATCTTTCCAAAGAGTGTTTTAAACAGACAACAGACAAGAGGCCCTAGAAGACAAAACAGAACAATACTCTTATGTATCTTAGTTTGCTATCTTTGCTGATCATCTTTGTTTTTCACCTGTTGTTTCTCAGATGGAAGACTCTTCCTGAAAACCACAGTGATGTATTAAAGACAGCATGGAGAGACTCTTCCTGAAAACCACAGTGATGTATTGAAGACAACATGGAGAGACTCTTCCTGAAAACCACAGTGATGTATTGAAGACACCATGGAGAGAAGAGAAGATCGATTCGAGCACCATTGGAGAGATTCCAGGGACTTGCAGCAGCAACATTATGGACGTTTCAGTACTCCACTCTGCTATAAAAGACTGACAATACACAACAAAGAACAAATCATCAAACCATTGTCATAACAGTGGTACATGCAATACCAATGTATTTCACAGCAACACATTCACAACAAAGTGTAACTGAGTGAGAGATTTTTATACTTTATTTAAACCAGCCCAAATACTCAGAGAAGGACAAATCCACTTCCGATTTTTGACTTATTGTCCGTATTCCTGTCTCAAATTTTATACGATTTAAATGTTTTAAAGCATAATGTCATGAAGGTCAGTAATCTAGAGGTTAATTTATTATGTTATTTCTGTACATAAATTGATACAATGTTTCATTACGATATTAGTTTTTGTTGTTTATTCTAGTAATGGAAAATGACAGTTAGTCCTTTGCCATTGATGTATATCAGATGAAAGGTAAAGGATTCCTGACCTATGGTATTGTATGTGTACATAAAGTAAACATATTGTATTGTGTATTGTATGCAGTAGATCAGCTAGATGAAAAAAAAGAATACAAACATTCTCATTTGTCCCAGTCTTATGTCTTCTAATGATCAACCCATCAGTCCCTCAATACATTTGAATGAGAACAACCACGTGTGTCAGTTTATTGGTCCTGAGAATGACAAGTCAAGGACAGGTTACCTATCACTGGCAGCATAAGGGGGTTTTAATGGTTTCTTCAGATGAAGAATACAGAAATGCATTGAATGCAACACTCAGATGAAAGCAGTGCCATTATTGTTCACTTTAATGCCATTCTACCATCCCTCTGAAAGCACAGAGCTTTATTCTGCATGAGGTGGGATTGGTATGCCAGTGATTTGTGCCTGGTTTCTAAAAACTAGCACGTAGATGATATCAACAGAGTGAGAGAGAAAGAAAGAAGAAAGAAGAAAGAAGAGAGAGAGAGAGAGAGGAGAGAGAGAGAGAGAGAGAATGAGAGAGAGAGAGAGAGAGAGAGAGAGAGAGAGAGAACGAGAGAGAGAGAGAGAGAGAGAGAGAGAGAGAGAGAGAGAGAGAACGAGAGAGAGAGAGCGAGAGAGGAGAGAGAAAAATTTCACCGGTAAGCAAGTAGTGAAACATGTTGACACAGCATTATCACACCCCTCATCATCTCCTTCTGGCAGGTTTCCTTTCTGGAGTAAAAACACTGGCCAATGTAACAGGCCAGGGCATATGAATGAATGAATTATTCAAACCTCTATTGTGGAAAAAAAATTCTCTAAGCAATAGCACTTTCCACATTCAGAACGAGGTTAAAGTCTCAATCAACCCTGGATAAAGATACATGTTTAATAGGAGAAAGAGAATGAGAGGAGTGTTATTATGTTGGACTTGGGCTCAGTGATATCCAACCCTTTCATAAAGGGTTTCTATTGAAATATATCATTGTACTGTACTGCAGCCCATCCTATTCACTCAATGACACATTTGGAGATGTCTTGGTAATAAACTGTCCACTTTCATACATCTATTTCTCAATTCAAGTTTCTCAGTACAAAGCTCAGAATATATCTATTAAATCTGCTTTACCACACTGACAGCTCTCATTCAATTCAATTAATTTAAATTCAATATATCTTTATTGTCCCGAAGGAGCATAGAAACAGCAAAACAACCCCAGGAACAAACACAAGTATCAGACTTCAGTCATACTTCCTGCTCCTGTTCAGCCAATCACCAATGAGCACCAGTCGTTTACAGTTGTTTACCCTGTAGCTACCGTCATTACCTCTTTAACAAGGCCCAGGTGCAGGGCCCGCAGTGTGTGTGTGTGTATTTAGGGGAAAGGATCTGACGTCTCCGTCCAGGCAGGCCCTCCTAACAGCTGGATCCACTCATCGTCCCTCCTATACCCCTCGGAGCATCACCCACACATACTCACACACTCACACACAGGGAGGGAGGAAGAGAGGGAGAGAGAGAGAGGGATGGAGAGACAGGAAAGAGAGAGAGAGACAGACAGACCGAGACATTAGCCACGTTTATACCTGGTTCTAACATGCGCCCTTTGTCCTGATCTTGTACTCATTCTGATTGTGCCCACATTTTCAGACAGGTGTAGACGATTAAAAGACACATTGTGAACTGATTTTGATCAGATCTTAAAAGTGTAAACTGGCAAGATCAGGACAAGATCAGGACGAAGGACATGTGGAGAGAGCAACAGAGGGTAGAGAGAGGAGACAGACAGTGTAAGTAACCATACCACAAACGTGTTTAAGATCTCACTCACCGAAGATAGGAGGAGATAACATAGGAGAAAACGAAACAATTCGCCCCCGTAGATAAATTTAATTAAAGGAAAAGAAGCAGAAGTAGAGAAAAAGAGAAGGAGAGAGTAAAAGGGGAGGGGAAGTAGAGATCGACTAAGCGGCATTTAACGGACTAAACAAAGAAGGGAGGAAAAAGTAGAAGAGAGCATGCATAGAAGAAGAGAAGGAACAGAGAGCAGCAACAAATAACCGGTAAAACTGCGCCATCTGAAGAGAGTACACAGAGCAGTAGAGATAAGGACAGTAAAGATGACAGACAGGTAATGAGAGACATCGACAGGACATGGTAGAAGAGAACAGACACGACAGAGAAGAGAGGAGACGACAGACAGAGAAGAACAGACAGAGAGAAAGGAGAGCAGAACAGAAGGTAGAGATGAGGAGACAGACAAGAAGAAGCCAGAAGGTAGAGAAGGAACAGGACAGCAGTAGAAGAGGAGGCAGAACAGACAAGTAGAAGAGGGAACAGACAGACCAGGTAGAGAGAGGGGCAGACAGACTAGGACAGGGTTAGGAGAGAGTACAGACAGACAGGGTAGAGAGAGGAGTCAGACAGACAGAGTAGAGAGAGGAGACAGACAGACACGGTAGAGAGAGGAGCCAGACAGGGTAGAGAGAGGAGACAGACAGACAGGTAGGAGACGGAGGCAAACAGACAGGGTAAGAGAGAGGAGGAAGACAGACAGTAGAGAGAGAGCAGACAGACAGTGAGAGAGAGAGGACAGACAGGACAGAGTGAGCAGAGGAGCACAGAACAGACAGACAGAGAGTAGAGAGAGAGAAGACAGACAGACAGACAGGGTAGGAGAGAGGAGAAGACAGGAAGACAGAGGTAGAGGAGGAGGCAGACAGGTAAGAGAGGAGCAGACAGACGGTAGAGAGAGGAGACAGACAGAAGAGGTAGAGAAGAGGAGAGCACAGACAGAACAGGGTAGAGAGAGGAGCAGACAGACAGGGTAGAGAGAGGAGACAGAGAGAGAGAGGAGAACGGAGAGAGGAGCAGAAGTGAGAGGAGACGAAGGTACAGACAGACAGAGGTAGAGAGAGGAGACAGACAGACAGGGTAGAGAGAGGAGAAGAAGACAGGAGAGAGAGGACGGAGAGACAAGGGTAGGAGAGAGGAGACAGACGAGACAGGTGAGAGAGAGAGGAGGCAGACAGACAGGGTAGAGAGAGGAGCAGACAGACAGGGAGAAGACAGAGTAGAGGAGCAGAAGAGGAGACAGACAGACGGGTAAGAGAGGCAGAAGAGAGGAAGACAGGAGAGAAGAGAGAAGGTAGAGAGGAACAGACCAGGGAGAGAGGAGCAGACAGGGTAGAGAGAGAGAGACAGACAGGGTAGAGAGAGGAGACAGACAGAAGGTAGAGAGAGGGAAAGGAGACAGACAGGGAGAGACGGATGAGAGAGGAGACAGACAGACAGGTAGAGAGAGGAGACAGACA